CCCACTGACAGACATTAAAACAAGAAATCACCATCTAATAAACTACAAAAGCACTGCAAACAAATTATCAAAGTGGTGACATTTACGGTAAAGTGAAAGTACACCCTGTTTAAGTTTTATGGTTTTACTAACAGACTTATTGAGAAGGTCCTGTGACTAAAAATGTAAACATTTCCCTTACTGGCTTTGTCTTTTTATTTACCATAGATTAATAAAATTGTAATTATTCTGTAAGTTTGTTAATATTGAGTGTGACTAGAAATTTTGTGCTCATTGATTTTCCTCTCATATTCTCACCTCAGGGGAAAAAATCTATTATTTTCTATTATTATTACATGTGATATACCAACACTAACGAGTACGTTTAAACAGGAAAGTACTTAAATTATTATTTTCCTTTTTTTTGATGAAACCAAATCTGTCAAAAAAGTATGTTGTGCTTTAAGATGCAACTTTCCAGAGTTAAGACTTCAAAGACTAAAAGAGCTGTTGCTGCAGCTAAACCTGCAGGTCTTCTAGGGAATGTTCTTTTGTGCATTTTAGCATACAGTAGATGGTAAAACTACTCCACTATAGCCGCTTTCCCACTGAAAACACATTTTATTTTATTTTTTTTAAACAGGTTGACCTGCTAACTATCGGCTTTTGGCTCTTTTTTCATTTGACCGAAACGCAGAGTCTGACGCCCAGCTGGAAAGCTGTGTGGCCACTGTCCCCCACCGCAGAGTGTCTGATAACGGCATCATGCCAGTTGAGCGTTGATTATGTCGAAAGTGAGACGGAAATCAGGGAAGTAAATAATGGAGAGCAACATGGACAGGAGCTAGAGCGTAGTCAGTATTCTTTATCATTTCGCTCTTTCATCTGTCCGAATCCCTCTCCGGGTCTGGTGTTCCCACTGCAAGCCGATCAGCGTAGAGGTGACTTAAACACGGGTCGCTTGCAGAGTTGTTTGACCCGGGTAGACATGCATCTGTTCCCACTGTAACTAAAAGCCGATTGTTCCCGTTTAAATGGGTTTTTCAACCAGTGTGAAAGGGGTATAAGACAGATTGAGAGAGTTTGTGAGTCTACATTGTACTTAGGTCTATAGTTTGAGAGGGTCATTCAAACGAAGAAATGGGCTTTTACTTCATCCCATTATATCTGTCAACTTATCCCACAGTCTAAGGGCATATTTACACCTGACACACTTAGTCAGCTGTAAAGGGACCAGAGTTAGTATCCCCACTTTGTCCAGATCTGTGGTGTAGGTGTAAATAAAGGCCAGCAAAACCTCGTTTGGAACAAAAAGTCTGCTTTCAAGTGGACTCTGCACTGGTTAGCTTTAGGTATAAATACAAACTGACCAAAACACAGAAAGCATATGACTCATTGGACTTAGCAAGTCACCGTAGTAAGAATGTATCAACAAAATCATACCAAACTACCAGCTTGGCAGCACTGCAACAAGCAAGCTGTAGATCTCCCTCGGATTGAAGGGAACATTTTCCAACACAATTACAAAATTAGAAAATAAACTGTCTTAAATCTCCCCTGAATGAGCTACCCTAGATACTCATAATGGTTTTACATATGTAATTACAGCATAATTTATTAAAAAAAAAAAAAAAAAAAAAAGAAATGCTGCATGCAAGACCCTGCAGTAGCTTGCATCCATTTCCGGGGCTGTGATCTGTCCTGGCGTGGCCATTTCTAACCAATGGATGCAACGTTTTTCACAAGTGTGGCTTTACTCTGAGTTTTAGTCTATTAGAAAAACTGCAGCTTCAATACAAAGATCAGCTGCCAGTAAATTGAAATTGACAAAAATAATAATAAATTAAAATTCCAAATCATGACACTAAAATCTGTTTTTTTCTGTAATGTTCATAAAATGTTCAGTCAGACTTCTGCACCTGATGACAAGTATGTTGGTTTATTGTTCATAAATATAGTACTTTTGTCTAAATTCGTTTGTTTTTTTAAAATGTTTTTAAATTAACTATTTAAGTCAATATTTTATTATACTAAATTATAATGAAATACTTTTGTATTTATTTTATTATTTTTTTTTCAGTTTCGTGAATTACTAGTGTAAATTTATGATTTTCTTTAATGGGATGGTATGTCAACTTTCAAGCACAATTGTGCACTTTAATCCATCTTAAACAAATTTACAATATTGTTATCTACAGTGATATAATAATGTGGCTGAACATAGAGATTAACATCTTACTGCAGTAAATATGACTCTATTTGAAGGATTTTTTTATATTTACCAGGGGTGACAATAAGTTTGGAACGCATTGTCTGACGCATTAAGCACAGTCAGCTCACGACCAAACACACCCTAACCCCTTCACACACTTCTTCATGTGAGTCGTGCAGACATGGGTTTCTTTAGAGTGGCGAGTGGGCGGCTTGGAGCGAGAGGCAGCCCTGGTTTACAGGTCAAGCCTGCAGCTTTACAAGGGAAATCTCCAGAGCCACTATAAATACCACTGTGAGCTTTAAGGGTGCAGTATATCACACCACTGGTTTTGAGGGACCACAAACCGACCTAGTTTTTGTAGTTTTTTTCCCTCTTTTCTTTCAAATGTACAGTGAGTCTGAACACAATTAAATGGGAATTGCCTCCTCTATATTTCTACAGACTGATAATTGATTGGCCCGACTTCAAAACTTTCTTTACAACAAAGAGCTTCAGAATCATATATGGTTATAAGAGTCTAATGTTTGGGGGTGGGTTTAATCTTTCTTTTTCTTTGTTGTAGTTTTGAACAAAGGGAAAGAAATATGTCAGAAACTATTCTGAATACACAGAGGTCTTTTTTTCTGAGCCCCCACCTGCAGGCAAGACAGTTATCCAACTAAACCTGATGTACGGCGACTTGAAATGAGCCCTAATGAATCGCTTAAAGAAACATCTGCACAGTGACAGAGTCAGGGAGCATGTACAGCATAAATCAAAAGCCTTTTTTGCTCTCCAGCTGGTTACTTATACACTCTGTGTCAAGCGTCACTTTCGAAAAAGAATTAATTCAGTTTTACTAGATTTTATGGTGAGAAAAAGAAAAGGTGGGAAAACCTTGGGTTGTCATTTGAACACCTTTACAAAACAGATGTGGAGTCAAAGGACTTAAAAAAAAAAGGCGATGGCAAATTTCATCGGCCTGAACTAGTTAGTGGCAGACGACACTAATTGTTTCCAGAAGTGTTGCTCTGATTCACGCCGACATCAAGCAGTCATGGCTGTGCAGGGAGAAAAGGAGGCAGTTGGAGCAGAGGGAGGGCAAATAATGAGAGGTCAGCCTCCATCCACATTCAAGCTGCCAGACCCAGAAAGGCAAGCCAATTTTATGGTCAATTGGGCAACGCATCTGGACTCGTAGATCACAGGACTGTGGGGCAGGACTTAGCACCCGGCTCAAACACATTTCACTCACACAACACAGACCACACAGCTCCCACAATCAGCGGCAAACAGGCCACAACACACCAGTAGTAAACACAACGCCTGCCAGGAACTGTTTGTAGATACTCATGTACAAGTTTTCAATGCTTAAACATTCACTAATCATATTTGTACAAAGTAACTTGTGAGTCGATAAATTAGGATGCCTGTGTTATTCTCACTAGATATGTAAACAAATAATCAACTAATAATGAATAGTTGATTAATGGCTTATGGATTTTTTTCAATCTTGTAGTGTTACAGCCATCCAGTAGAGGGAGTCACTGCTCATTTTTAACTCACTGGTATTTATAGGAGAAGTAAAACCAGAGCGGATGCAAGCAAGAAATAAAAAAATCAATCAATAGTCTGGCCTAGGATTATTTTAACTCTTAATGGTAACGAGGATGCAGACTTTAGTTTGTGTAGTTTCGTTTTTAAATATTAGCACTTGATAAACTCCTTGAGGTATTACTTAAATAGCCCCCATTTAGCTGGACTGCATGGCCGGGCAGCATCGACTTCTCTGCTGTGCTTGGATAACACAAAACTCTTGTAACAGGATTTTAAAAAAAAAAGCTAGTATTTAGCACAGTGAATGGGAAAGGCCTTTGTGTGTTCATGCTTTTATTTTCAAAGAAATGTCTAATGTAATAATGTTAAATAAAATATTTACTTTTAATCAACTCAGTATTTGATACAACTGGCACAACAAATTATTCAAATATAACGTTGTACAGTTAAAACAAAGAAATAATTAGCTTATTGTGTTATAGAAAGATCATCTTTATACATACACTGTGGAGTCTTTCCACTTCCTGGGAACTATTATCACACAGGACCTATTGTAAAGTCGGAGTTAAACATCAAGTCCCTCAGCAAGAAAGCCCAGCAGAGGATGTAGTTCCTGCCAATGATGGTGCATTTCTACTTCTCCATTATTGAGTCAACCTCACCTCCTCCATCACCATCTGGTATGCTGGTGCCACCACCAAAGCCAAGGGCAGACTGCAGTGTGCTATCTGATCACCACAGAAGGTGATTGGCTGCAATCTTCCATCTCTCCAGGATCTGTACGCGTCCAGGACTCTGAGGCGTGCAGGGAAGATTTTGGCTGATCCCTCGCCCCCCAGCCACAAGCTATTTCAGACACTTCCCTCTGGCAGGGGGATGCGGGCCATCAGGACTAAAACCTCACGCCACAAGAACAGTTTCTTTGCATCCACTACAGCCTTGAAACTGCCTCTCTCCCTCCCTCCCCCGTTCAGGACCTACAAGCTACACCAACGTAGCATCTCCTGACTTTCTGCGTTACATTAACGAACAGCTAGATACTATAATAGCCTATATAGTACATAGCCTATATACTATATTTTGTAAATAGTATGTTTTATGTTTTATAGATTCTCTATTCTGTATATATATTTAATTTTTCCACACAACAATTTATTCAAAGGCAAAAAGCAACACATAGGAAAAAAAAAACAATCAGAAGAACACCTGAAAGACATGCTTGATAAGGTGTGGTGTATCCTATTCTGTAGAATTGGATAGCTTATCTTACCTCTGTGGGGACAGACAGTAAAGGGATGGGGGATCTCAGGTAGTTGAACCGCAGCAATGTTACCATGATTACGCAGCGAATTGCCTCCAAGAAAGCTGATGATGGCCTGAAAGTAAGGAAACATGAAACAACACAAAAGTAACTGAGCAGGTTTAAAAAAAATGTTTTTACTTGATTTATCTTAACATCCAATTCTGACTGATCCCAATTCTGTTAAATGGGACATTCCTCCTCCTCCATAGGCTTCTAGAGATGAGCACCACCCCTCAGTGATGCTGACTATCAAGTGCTAAATATGTAAGCATTGATGGTTGATTGTTAAACAGACAACTTGATGATTTGATTGACTGATGCCAGCCATCATTGGCAATAAATGGTTAACTTAATCCTATATGTTATGAAGTCAAGGCCTCCCTCCTTTGCAGAATTGTTGGGATTAAGTCACATTGTAGGGTGTTGAAACATGTAATGCATACATAAGCTCATGCCACAAATTTAAAATCAGATTCAGTCTCAGACTTGGACACACCAAAACCTTTATTTACGTACTTGAGGTTTATGTCATGAATGGAAGGTTCAACATTTTCCCTCAGGATTGTCTGCCTGATAAGAGAATTCATGGTTCCTTCCTTTATGGGAAGTTGTCAAGTAGGCCAAATCCTCACGGTGCTTGATTGTCATTGTGAAGTTGTGTTATTTTACACAGCTTTTTAAAAGTCTACCTTTCGTTTTCTTTTTTTTTAAATCAATCTAGAGCATTTTCTTTAAAAGAGAACTTAAAATAATCATCAAAATGTTTGTCCTTGAAACAGCCCAATGATTGTCAAATTTGCCTCTTTCTTGTAGTCAAACCATGAAGTCTGACGTCAACTGTGGCCAAAGAGGCCTGCTGAGCATTCAGGGTTGTTCTGGGTTCTTTTGTGACCACCTCGATAAAAACATGTTTTCTTGCTGTGGCTCACAGGGGCCCGAAAGCCTTAGAAATGTCACACTTTCCAGATATATCTCAATGAATTGAATTTGAATAGAAAAGAAAATCGTAATACTGGGTGTGCTGTCTTTTAGATCTGTTAACCAGTTTCACACTGGGACATGTTGGTTTGCAAACATAATTTGAACAAACCTTTTTTAACTGAACCTATCAGTTTGATATTACAATTATTTTTGCTTATTCTACAGTAAAAAAATGAGCTCTACAAAAAAGCTTGACAAAAAAGAAAAAATAAGGTTCTCTGTAAAAGACATTTAAAGTATTCTATACAGAAAATCTACAGCTATATTGAAAGCAAAGCACAAACCTTTGCTCGATGATGAATCCCAGGGAGGTGAGGGTGAGCAGAATATAGGTGGTCATCCCCAAAAGAGTTAACTGTGACAGCATCTAGGACAGACATACAATTCCATATGAATGATGTGAGGTTAAGCTACTTTAAAAAATAAAAACCTAAAGTCAGTATCATGGTTGGTAAAGTCACATCTGCAAGAGACCTTCATGGGAAGCAGCTGTAAACCACACTGCTATTCGACTTTTTATTTGGCAATGCCAACCAAAACATGTCTGACCTTCAGAGTGAGTGCAATGGCACCCATTCAACACTGTATCCAGTGGACTCAGACATGCCCAGTTTACATAGATGGTGTGGTTATCTCACAGGGTTCTTGACAGAAGGCTTGACCACAGATGAAGAGACTGCAGTACAAATCCCCTAAAAAGGAGCCAAAACAACCAAGTTTGGAGCAGAGATCCCATCCAGACTCCCACTGACCTTTTCCCAGCAATTTGGGAAATTCATACAAACACATAAAGTCATGGAGCTAATATGTGTCCTCTAACCTAAGGCCTTGGCTGCTCACTGCAGCTGGAAGAAGAGTATCCCCAGAGGATGCCGTGGGTTGTAAGTTTGGGTTTATGTTTCTCTGACACTCAATACAGAGACTAACAGCCAAATCTCAGTGCTCCCATGCCCAGGAGGAGACACTTTATACTGTCAGGATGAAATAAACCCATCCACTGGATGCAACCATACAGTGTATCTTAATGCTTAGCCAAGCATGACAATCCATAAAATGGATATTACTAAAATCTTTATATGGGAGCACTTGAGGGGATGCAGTTATAGTGGCAACAAATCAGGTGGTGGGGTTTAAGCTTCTACATATCTAATGGAATGAATAACAACCACACAATAATATTGCTCCAGAACCACACAATAAACAGAAAGCAGACATGACATACAGAATGGACAGAAACAAGAGTTGAGGCAAGCACAGGAGGACCCTAAGAAGGGAGGTAAAGTTAAAGGAAGAAAAAAAGGGCAGAAGGCAAGATAAATAATCTAAACAATTGGATAAAAAGTGAAGTCTTGAAATACAAATATGTTTCCATACTCTTAATTACTCCTGCTAATCAGACCTGGGAAATACTAAGTAAAAAAAAATGTCATTGTTTCCTAAAGGACTCTGGATATCGGAGCAGACTAATGTCAGTTCAAACGTTCAGACTGTAGTAATAATAACTGCAAAAAAAATACAGAAATAAGAGGTTCAGTTTTATAGTCTTAGCTACATCACGCTGTACCAGCTGTGGTGGCCCAAATGTTAACTCTACATCTCTACACCATTATTACTCTGTCTGCTGACAAGAAGCAGATTACCTCATTATAGGGGCTATTATTTCTGCCATTACTACGAGTGTTGGAAAAGTTGGTCTGTTTGTTAGTTGAAATAAAAATAGCCCTGTATTTTATTCTTAAATGTTATTTTGATAAGTCACACTAAAAACATGCCCTTAGTTGGCCGTTTTTAAAGGAACACTGTCAGATCAGATTTTGGTGTCTTTCAGTTTTAGCTTCCTCTAAGGAGCATTACATCTGCCATTCATGCTGGACTGACTTTAAATTTGGATAGACAGCAAAACTATTTAACCTCCCTTTTCCTAACAGTCTCTGGGCACAACAAACGCTAACATAGCGATTGTTTACATTTATATATACCTCGGATTCATGTAAAATTATTTGAATTCTGCCACATATATATAATACTTAATAATCAAGTGAATTAAGAAACTGCAGATATGTAATGCAAATCCATTTATTGTCCAAAAATGGGGAAATTCACCTCTGCATTTTACCCACCCCCTTGGGGAGCAGTGGGCTGCCATAGTGTGGCAGTGTGGGGTTAAAGGTATTGCTCAGAGACCCAGAGTGCAGGCTGTGGGGATCGAACCAGGTACTGTACTTGCAACTTCTCAGAGCACCAGTGCATTGCTCTAACCACTAGACCAACACTTTCCCATGTGTTAATACAACTAATGCTGGGGTGCAATGGTTTAAGAAGTAGGGTAGGGGTTTGTCCTTTAATGTTTGAGCCCTAGGACCATCTGTCTCAGTCTTTCTGTCCTTGGGAAAAACACCACTTGCCTTGCCTTGGCGGTCAGAGGGCAGGGTGGTGCAGATTGTATGGCAGCCCTGCTTCTTTCAGTCTGCCCCAGGGAAGCTGTGGCTACAACGCAGTTTGTCAGCATCAGTGTGTGAATTTGTGTGTTAATGGGTGAATGAAGTGTAACATGCTTTGGGTTTCTTGGACTTAAAAAAAAGCATAATACAGCCCACTTATGTCCTATAAAGTAAACCTTTAAGTAAATGAAATGCACAACTGACAGAAACGAAAACTAAAAGACCAAGAAAAAAAAGTTTGTTAGATAAGAACTGGATTTAAGTAGTGCCCATCTTTCAACTTTTTAAATTGATCAGAATAAAAAAAAAAAAATCAAACCATAAATTACACTGACATAATATCTGTTTTTCAATTAGTTTGTGATTTCATCTGCTTGCATATAGTGTCTGCATCTTTGGTCCAAGTTTTATCTACTTTACTACTTGCTTTTAACATCTTTATCATGTTTTATTTTCCTTCTATCTTATTTTTTTATTTATTAAAGCCATTTGAAATTGTCTCCGTAATTAATTGTAGTACATCAAAAAACTTGCCTTGGCTTGCCTATAAATATGTACTGGAAAGGGACTTTTCACAGTTCATAGAATAAATTGAATTAATATAGTTTAAGTTTAGCTTGCAAAGAATGTTCATATTACCCAATCGAATTAACCTTTTTCACTTTTCACTAAAGTTGCAGCAGCGGATGACAGGCTAAGCCCTTTGACTGTTTATTTTTTGTTTGTGTTTTTTGGGAGGGCAAGGGGTGGGCTTTGAAACAGATGCTTTTCTCTGCTGTATTTTACTTTAAGTTTATTAAAAGTCACTTTACTTGTTTTATCCAGAGAGTTATTTGACATTAGAAAGCAGTTGACCTCAAACATGAAATTTTCTTGCTTTCAAGAAATCATATAAACACCTTAAAGTATAGCAAGTGTATCAGCTTTATATAATCTAATTACATCAATAGTATTGAACTTAAAATTTCTCAAAACACAGGAAACTAATTTCAGTGATTCTCAGAGATAACAAACGAATGTCAGCTTCAATTAACTTTTCGCTTGTAAAAGCAACTAAAGCAAACTAATAGGGCACGCATGTTGACCTAATAATGATGTAATTTAAAAGTGACTTTACTTTTTTTATGACTTTGAATTAACACAGAGCTCATATACTGTCCAACAGCGTGTCATCAATTGTCAGACAAAATAACTGGCTAGGGGAACATGTAGGCATAAATACATAACAGTGACATGATTTATTGTTCGGCCATGGAGCTCGCTTTGTTATTTTCCCCTCCAAGTCCTGATTGCTGCATCCTGAAGGCTATTTGGGTTGGGAAATGGTTGACTCGACAATTAAGCGTTTGTGTTCACTGCTGGACCACCAGCTAGTGTTTCATTCGCCAACAGGGAGGGGAAACCTCAACTCAGAAGAGAAGATGTATGTGTGTGGATGTTTTAAAAGGGGACCACAAATGTAAAAGCTCTGTCTAGGTACCGATCAGTAAAAAAAAAAAAAAGACATTTTATTTTGGAGTTTTGAAGAGAATGGGCGTGACGGCACTTTTGGGCTAACCAAAACTATGCCTGTAGAGAGAAAAAAAGCTTCCAAAGATAACTCCTGAGGAGATCTGTTTTCCTTTTTTTCCTCCGGCTGGAGGAAGGGGGTCTCTTGGCTTGTCGAGTGGAAAATAATAGACAAAGGTTGTTTTAAAAGGGAATGTCGATCCGTCATCCTGTCAAGATGTTAGACAGAACTAGCGTTTTACCACTAGATAAGTATAGGATTTAAGTCCACCATAAAGAAGCCACAACAAACTGCTTAATTGGCTTAAATAATGTTGTCAAACAAACACATAGAGCTTAGACTAAAATCTGAATGGTCCACACCACCTCTGATAACTATTTTATGCTTTATATGAGCAGGGCTCGATGTTAACCATTGCCCGATCGCCCCGGGGCAAGTAGTTTTTATTGTCGGGAGGGTACAAATTTGCCCAGCGGGCAAATGCAATGATCTCAAAAAAAATGTATTTATCACTCAAAATGACTTTAAAATCACCGACATTCGACCCACAAGCGTTGCCGGCACCATTTTTGTTGTTTTGTACACATTCTCGTGTGATTTGAAAAAGCTGCGTGATTTTCCGCCAGACAGCGTGATTTTTGTCCGGAGATTTTTATCTGACACATTTTTTTCGACTTGGCAGGCTAAAAAAACAACAGCTAGGCTATTTTACCCTCCACCAATTTCACCCACCACCCAGATAACTCTAGATTAAAAATTATTTGTCAGGGATTAGGACAATTGGCATAATTGTATGCCATGCGCACAGTGTAAATATGGCTATCATAAGGCAGTCTTCTGTACAGTGATGCAGGTCATACATTGAAAAATGTTCATTAAATTTTTTTCTCTTAGACATTGGAGAGGTGCATTTAAATGTTATAGAGCTAAACATGTTAAATTGGTGACCTTTTATTATTATTGTCTTGTTGTTGCATTTATTTTATCAGGGAAAACTAATCCTGAGTCAGTTAAAAGTCAGAGAATTCTGAAATTATGTAAGACTGTGGAAACCCTGTATAAAATAACTATGTATAATGATTCTCTAAAAAAGTCACATTATATTAATAGTATTATCTTGTATAAAAATACCGTTGAAAGTTATTCATTTGTGACATTGACTTCTGTCTTGTGACTTATCTTAAGTTTTTAACCTGCCAAGTTTTTGTTTTAGATTTTTAACATTACAATTTATATTCTTTCAAAGCACACAACAGTTTAAAGCAAAGTTTAGTTTGAAAAGAATGTGCAGGAAGGATTGAAAAGCATGTTAACATGGTAATGTAGGCTTGAGTTCATTATCTGACGCATGCAGATACACACCAGGAACCTGTAAACTTAAAAAATACTGAATTACAAAAAACATTTAAAAAACAAACATGTTTCATTGATATATATATACAAAAATGAATAATAGGAACTATATTTATCAAACATTATGCTGGGCAAGTAAAAATTGTTTCTGGGCAAATGAAATGTGAAAGTCACTTGCCCAAAGGGCTAGTGGTAAAAATCCTTAACATCAACCCCTGATGAGTAACATAAAAATCTATCAGTGGTTTAATGAAGCAAAGTTTTAAATATCATATAAATGGGAGGGATACCTACCATTTTGCTCTCAAACAACTCATGGTAAGTCCACAGTACCAGCAGGAAATGAAAGGTCACATAAACTTGAAAAGACAGTGGCCAGTTGGGATCATGGGGTACTTCCTTTCCAGTTACCTGAACAAACAGAAAATAAACTGGTTTAACCAAAGCTCTATAAATATTTTTTCATGTCAAAATTTATCATTTATTTACATGTAAAGATACAGATGAGACCTGGACAACATTTATTGCCATTTTGTAAACACAGAGTGTATGCAAATAGAAAT